AAAGGCGATGCCTGTCAGGTTCTGTGGGGAGCTCTTCCTCAGATGACGCTCCAAAACAATGACTTGGAAGATCTTTGTATGTTTCAAGTAATAGTTCACTTGGAAGTGGGCGGGCGGGCGGGCGGGCGGGCGGGCGGGCTGTGCTATCCTCTATCGTGTCTGGCTAGTGAAGTTAAAGCATCTCACTGCTCTCGTCCTAGCATCCAACCGCACTTCGGTATGATTCCTTAACAAATTCAGAAAAGTGTCTGCAATAAGTTGAAATTCAATGGTGGGTTGTTAGGGTCACATCACTACACCAAGAAATCAAATTAGACTAGCTAGAAAAACTTATCACTTGGCTTGATTTCCTAGGACATGAGGAACATACCCAAGGCTTAGGCTTTCGACCATTGCATGCAGTGGGGACTTGGAGGTAATCTGTCCATAGGATAGCTCTGTTGGTTTGTCCTGTGAGTGATTGCTCCTACCCTCCTTGCATGACGCCAATTGAATATTTTTATGGAGTAAAAAGAGTAGGTACACGCCTTAGTGGCTTTTAGGTATATTTGAGAGTAATTTTGAAGGATTAAAAATGTGGTTCGAAGTAATTTGAATCATTTCAAAATCACTCTCAAACATACTCTTAATTATTCCATTCTCATCCCGTTCTCATTTGATTGCATGTTCCACTCTTCGATGGCATTCGAATATTTTCCAAACACTTGTGTAATGCCAAGATTATGGTCTTAGAAGGAAATGGTAGCTTCTGATTGAACCATACCAGTGGCTTCAGACAGATGGGCTGCAGAGTTGTGAGAATCTGCTGCAGACTTTGCATACGATTTAGGGGTGGAATGGGTAATTATTTCCCTTTGTTTAAGGTAAGGTTTTTAAATTTGAGTACAAGAACAGCCTACTTTTTTTGACATTTCATATACCTTGAACATGGCTATTTCTTTATATATCTTTTAAATTTGTGAGATTTCTCTGTCTAAGGTGGAACTCCTCTCTTGTGAAATATCTTTTTGATATATTTATTTAGAATCCATCAATTTAAATTAGGCAGTATCTCCTTAACACTACATTCAAACTAATTGTGAGAATGCTGTATTTTAAAGCTAGCACAATTGTTCAATATCTAAACGAAAACAGGCGATGTAAATGAGCTACACAACAAAGCAGAAAGAAGGAATTTTGTATTGATTCAGTATACAAAAATGTAAGAACTAACAGTACAATGATGACATTGGGATAACTAACTAAGATGATCTAACAAAAGATAAGTTAAGATACATTCATTTTTTAAAGGAAAATTTTCACCCAGAGATTTCGCCCACGAAGTCAAGGCCACCAAACCTCCCAGGTACAAGGCTTCCAAAGTCGATCCCAGTGCTGATACACCGAACGCTTGACTCTAGTCCCTGCACTCCAAAAATATATATATTGATCTTCTATAATAAAAGAATAGCAAGAGTAGAAAAGAAAAATGATTCCACAACTGTTCCCATTCCCATAAGGTGAACTTTTACATGAAAATCTCATTCAATCATGAGTCGGATTGTTCGTCACCGTCATAACAATGAGAACCGAATACCAATCTCAATCTCAATACCGCATGACAACAGTGCACACAGGTTTAAACATTACAAATAGATTATGAATAGCAATGGCTGGCAACTTAAATTGACTAAGAAAACCTTCCAGCTAGTGTCCAATGTGAAATAATAGAACAAATTTTAGCGCCATGGAATCGAATTTTATCAGAATGAACAAAATCCAGAAACACATCGTCCAAAAGGGCAGGAGGTGTCGGAAAGAAAAGAAATAGGCTAAAGCATTAAAATTGGCAAGAACACAATGGTGATGACCATCTAAAAGATATTGGCAAAACCATAAGGTTGATTATATCTGAGATTTGGTCATTACCACAAAAGGAAGAATCATCATTAGGCTTCCACCTTTGCAATGGATTTACGAGATCAAATCAATAAATGTGGAGCAATGGATTTACGAACAGAAAAGCTACCATTGAAACCTTCCAAAGCTTAATTCAAATGAAGTCCTATGACAGCTAAAGGTAGCTCATAAAAACAACAGAAATTACCAGAAATGAAGTCCTATGACAGCTAAAGTTGCATTCAAATACTAAAGGTCAAGAGACTCGAAAAATCTCATACAAAGAGTTACAAAGAACATCATAGGTCAGCAGAAACCCGAATTTAACAAGTATTCGACCCTCACTACAGAACTATCTAAAAAAATGTATCATGCTGAAGGGTAAACATGAATTAGCATAGCCTATTAAAAGTTGAGAACCTCCAAAAAGTAAAACACCAAGGTAAAGAGATTTACTAACCAATACTTTATCAGTCCATCCCAGCCGCACGTTGCTACTTTACTTTGCTCCAATGGATGCCACTCACACCCAATGCATACACCATCGTGACACTTGAGAGTTCTGAATACCTTGCAGGATTTCCAGTCCCAAAACCAGCATTTTCCCTCACCATCACCCGACATAACAAAACGCCCATCTGGTGAAAAATTAACCTGACAAGCATATCCTGCCACAATGTGCCCAGCAAACCTCTTTTTCTTGTTCAGCTGGAATCTCTCCCTGGTGCTATAAATAAGAATTTGATTGTCTAAACTCTGTGCTGCGAGCCAATTCGTATTGGGGTGTACAGAAATGGAGGGCATGGAGTGCATATGAGGCTCACTAATATACTTAATAACAACAGGAATTCCAAATTCCCAAACACGGAGCGACTTGTCATCGCTTGACGTGACAAACCTCCTATTATTGTCTACAAATGTAATGGTATTCACTGCTCCTAAATGTTGATCGTACTCTTGCGTAATCTGTCCTGTGTTCATATCCCACTGAACGATTTTCTTATCACTCATCCCTGCCAGCAAAATATTCTGCTTATCATCATCAGGATTGAGCTTAACTACATAAGGAATTTTCCCGGTGGAGAAGGTTGATATCACTTGCCCTGTTTCTGTATCCCAATACTTAATCTTTTTATCATATCCAGCAGTCAAAAACTTAGACCCATCATTACAAAATGAAATATCTCGAACTGCTTGAGAGTGACCCATGTAGGTTCTCATACATTTACCAGAATTGAACACATCCCATATTTTTACCTTGGTATCCATACCAGCTGAAAGAATCAAATGGCCATGTTTAGGGAAGAATCTAATAGCAGATACACCCTTTGTGTGCCCGCTCCATGTATGCACCAATCTTTTCGGTATATAGCAATGATCATTTGTGGCCTTGGCATCCTTCGGGGGTGAAATCCAAGATCTACCCTGATAGTCCCTTTCCTCTTTACCATGAAAAGTACTCTTGTCCGCTGTAACTTCTCCCTTCTCAGAACCTTTCTCTTCACCTTTCTTCTTTGCGTACTCTTCTGCATATTTCTTCTGCTCCTCAGTCAGCTCGGTTTCCAGACCTTCCTTCTTCCCAGACCATGGACTCTTCCTGTTCTTCATCAACCACACATCACTAGCTGGATTATCTACTTCAGCCAGATTCAAGTCCTCTTCCACATCCTCATTTTCACTCATTTCTTTCTTTTTCTCAATCTTCCGCTTCTTTTGCTCATGCTGTGGAATGTTATACACAGAGATGGCATCATTCTTCTGCAAAGCTTCCATGTCCCCAATGTAATTGTTTCCAGCAGAAGCTGATGGATCAGCAGCATATCCATACTTATGGAAAGTGTTGTACTGCTCATCGAAGACAAATGGCTCAATGGACGCATCCTCCACGAAGCCTAGCTTGTGGTTTCGCATGCCCTGTGCAATGCCATCCTTGGCATAAGGATGTGATGGGCCGTAAATGGGCGCCCAGAGTTGGTCGTAAGTGGGGTTGAAGGCAACGAGATGTTGAGTTGGGTCTATCGGCTTTGAGAGGGTCTGGTTGGCGTTGGCCACCGTGAGGGCTAACATTGTATCATCAACCTTGGGCGCCGAGGTTTTGGCGGGGAGGAGTCTAGGCGGAGAAGCTTCTGGTGAAGACGCAACCTGCTCGGGGCTTCCGTCTTCATTATTTTGATCTGTGTACGACTGGAGAAGATCCATAAACCTGATTTACACTCTGTACGACTCGAAACCGAATTGATTTCCCGTTCCACAGCTCAGACCGAATCTTCCTGGAACTGAACCAACAAAAATCTAAGAGTACTATTTCTTTAAACCCTATTTCAGTTTCACAATTCTTCCCAAACCAAAGCAAACCTTTTCCCCCTTCTTCTGTAGCTAAGGAAGAGATTCAAAGGTCGAACCTTAGCCGACAAATAGATTAATAAAAAGATGAATCAGAAGAAGAGATGAGGATTCCACCCGATCATGTTCACTTACCTCATGCTCTAGGGTTTTAGCATTGCAAGATGAGATCAAATCAAGGCAAACTGATCGAAATGAACCCAAACAATATGCCAAAATTCGATTCGAGAGAAAATCAAAGAAATCTCTCCTGAGTTTTCTCCTTACACATCAAACTTTGAAAATACTATTAAATCTTCACAAATGTCTTTAAAAAAAAAATCATTAATTTTGGATAAAAAATAATTATTTATTTCAAAAATACCTTCGACTCGATAAAATCTTAAGGTAGCATTAACACTATTTACCTTTATAAAAATTATTTTTAAAAAATTTACTTTAAGTTAGATTCTCGTTAATAAATATATATTATTTTGACCTTTCTAAACTATTAAGTATTTTTTAAACCCTTATCTAACTTAAAATCAAACTATCATAAATTATGAATTTAAAATAAAAAAATTAATAATTTTTTCTATATATATTATTAGGGTCAAAGTCTATGGATTTATCCTCGACTTTAGAAGCCCACATGGTTTTGGAGGCCCACGGCCCAATATTGATGTGGGCCTTGAAACGCAGGCTGCCACGTGTTACCGTTTGGCTCCAGAATCTAGAACACTCTACTGCTGGGACAGGGACGTATGATACCCAGTTTGTGCGGACACTGGCAGTGGCAATTAGAAAAGGCGCAATTTAGCGCCAACGAGATAAGCCGTAGAGGGAGTCTCTGTAGAAATTGTGAATTGAAGAAAAATATGGAAGCGACTCTCGCATCCACACTTTCGCAACTCAAATCTCCTTTCCAGTCTCTCTCTTCCAAATTGTGGCCTTCAGTTTCCCTTACTTCCCGGGAAAGTAAACGGAAGACGATTAGGTACGCTCCGGCAACGGTGAGTTTGCCGGCTTCTCGCATTCGTCTCAGAGTGTTCGCCAATTCGCAATCGGCGCCTGCTTCTGCCGTGACGTCGGAAGTGTCGTCGGTGCCTTTGGAAATGAAGGCGTGGGTGTACGGTGAGTATGGAGGCGTCGATGTGTTGAAATTTGATAGCAGTGTATCGGTGCCTGAAGTGAAGGAGGATCAGGTTCTGATTAAGGTCGTTGCGGCGGCGCTTAACCCTGTCGATGCTAAAAGGAGGCAGGGGAAGTTCAAGGCCACGGATTCTCCTCTTCCGGTAACCTTCTTCACCGACTCTTTAAGATTTTGTTTATACATTTTGTTGTCGGCCTGCTCGCTGCGAAAATACTGTCATCCAGTTCCCGGTGATACTACTAGTGGCTTTGGGAAATAGAATTTAGGTTAAATTATTTTTTAAAAAAGCCAATAAACTTTCTCTGTTGTTATTTTTTTTTTTTTTCGAAGGATTTGTTGTTCAATTCATATAATATAATATATCATATTATACATTTTAATTTAATAAAAAATTAATTGAGTGAATATTCTGAAGTATATTTGTTGAAGTTTCTATACTTTTTAATATAAACATGCATTGTAAAAGCTAAAATTCTAAATATGGATACTATTATTTGCAGATCTTTAATTCGAAAACAATTTTTAAGAACACATTTGCTAAACTCAGAGAATCCGAAAACATAAAACATAATCGAGATGGTTTATATCATTCTCTTAGTTACAATTTTTGAAAACTTATCTTTGTACTAATAGATTTGTTGTCCTTTTTAGATGTATGAGAGAGGAATTGTAAGAATATTTTGAATTTTAAAATAGGCCTTCAAATTTTACAATTCTCATCCATAAATTATTATGAGCTTCTTCCAGTTTGGCAAGTCTTATTAAATAAAACGTTCTCAAAATGAAACTATTTTAGTTTTAGGTTAATTTGGAAGTCTTTTTTTTTTTTTTTTTTTTTTTTTTTTTTTTTTTTTTTTTTTTTTTTTTT